TGCAGGCTTGTAGTGTATACCCTTTGGTTGGCTGATGATGCATTGAGGGGATTGTAACCATGGCAATGAAACGATATACGAAAGAATGAATGTAAAACTATTGTTTTCCCATGTAAACTATCACATAATTCACGGTAAAACTTTTTAAAAAAATTTTTTTTAATAAATAAACAAATAAAATGGATGACCCTGAGACTCAGTAAGCTTTTGGGTTTTCTAATCAGTGAGCTGATTTGCCTTCCCTCCGTCAGGTCCAGGCCCACCGCTCCGTACACTGCGGTAGTGCTGGGGCTACAAGCCAGAACTAACAGCTCTCCTTCACCCACTGCTGCATGTTCTACTCTGCCATGGGGGTGCCAGCGCAAGGCTGAAGGAGAAAAGAGCGGGCTCCTCTGTCTGCTTGTTGTCATAGCAACTTCCCAAAGTAGCTCTTTACCCTGGTACTAGCTGTTCCTCCCGTTTCCATTTATTTCTTCACTTTGAAGTAGCCTCCTCATGTCCCTTCACAAGAATCAGCACAAACTGGTTGGCATCTCCTGCTAAGAGGTCTACATCCCAGCTCGGCAAGGCCTTAACTCCCAACTCCTACATTCTAGTAATCCCAACTTCTCCCCTTTCTTCCCCCATTCCTAGGGGCAGAAGTTGGTTCCTCTTTTGCTTTTGCAGTCCTCCAAAACTTGTTTAACCAATTGGGTATATTACATTGCTTCTAATAACTGGTGTGGTTTTTGAGTGGACCACACCAACACTCCTAACAACAGACCGAGGTCTGAGGGCTGAGCAGAGTCTATTATAAACAATAAATAGATTATGTTGTTGGTTTTTTGTGCAGTCTAGTCAATTCCAACTCAAAGCAACCCTGTGTAGAGCTTCTGAGGCTTTAAATCTTCAAAGGAGCAGAAAGTCTCATCTTTCTTCCATGGGGTGGCTGGTGGGCTCAAATTGCCAACTTTATGGCTCATAGTCCAGTGCTAATTGTATGGAACCACCGTATTCCCCAAATAGAATATAATCCATTATACTTCTTGATGAGACAAGAAACCAATTCAACCTGAAACTGAATTAACAAAGCTCATCTACAAAAACATCAGTCAAATTTTCCAGAGAACAAACGGAAAAGTGATTGTCTGGAGGTCCTTTAAAGACCTCTGACCCCAATCCCAAGTTCCCAAGTGGAAAGTGAGAGGCGCCAACTCAGGTCCTAGAGGTCTGAAACAATCACCTGCCTTTTCCATGTTCTCCACGACAGCTGCCTCACCTAGAAAGGAGGGACCAGCTCACCTAGTCCAGGCCCAATGTATGAGGAGTCACGGCACAGTCAAATGGGAGACCTTCTTACTAACAGCTTCAGTAGAAGCCTAAGATGGCTTTAACATATTCAATTTTAAGAACAAGGCCATTTTTTGCTTTGACTTTTAAAGGCATTGTGTGAGTATAATAGCCTGTGATAATGATGAACCAATGTATGGTCTTGTCTTTGAGAAGACTTACAGGTGTGGCTGAATTCTGCTGGTGGGTCAGAGTCCAAATTTCTGGAAGTGACCTTTCTATCAGTTGCAGAGTATCTTCAAAGGCCTTCTGCAATTCTTTTGCTTGCTCATCAAATGCAAAGAGGAACAGCACCTTTGAAATATTGTATACCTCATCTACAGAGAAGAAATGAAAGACATTGGTATGCTATTACCACACCACAGTTACATTCCCAAGGGAAAAATATCTAACTCTGCACTACTGTTGACACCTCCTACATTTTCTTCTTTCTTCCCAAATTCTGGGATGACTCCATATACCTCCTATTAGAAGGAAAACAAACACACTGGGGCCAGACAAGAAGCAGTGCCTCCACAGCCCAGTAGCCTGTGCTTACCTGTCGCAGTTCAGTCCAGGATGCCAGGTGGAAGCAGACGTCTAAGTTCTGCTTCAGGAATGTGCCCTGAAGTGACCCTGCAGTCCCAAGTAACTGCATTTTCATTGTCTACTGGCCTCTGCCTCTCTGTATTATCCATTTACTACTTTTTGGAGGGCAAGAGTCACCATCAGTATTGAGAATCACCTTTGAGTTTTTCAATGCTCTGAACCACCTCATTCAATGCCTCCAAAAGGGCCAGGTCCTCCAGCGGACTCCCCTCTTTGAGGCTGTGCTTCTTCCGCTCTGCTTTGCGGCGATTCTTAGATGATCGCCTGTTAAAACCAGAGAAATATTTAAAACAGGACTGTCCCTGTGCTGAAAAGACTAAGTGAATATGACTGTTGACTACGTCCCTCCTAGGATGCTAGAGAGTCTGTAGATGGTTTTGTTATTTAGGGGGAAGTGGTGTTATACATAAAAAAAATTGGGAGAGGTAAGTCTTACAGTGGTTATTTATGTGCCGTAGAGTCGGCTGTGACTCACAAAGACCCTGTCTAGGGTTTCCGAGGCTGTAAATCTTAATGGGAGCAGAAAGCCTCATCTTTTCCCCGAGCAGTCCCTGGCAGATTTGAACTGCTGACCTTATGGTTAGCAACCCTACTCCTAATCCACTATGGTAAAAGAGCTACTTTAAGTCTTATAGGCAGGATATAATAAGGAAAACCCTAAAAACAAGACAAAATAAAACAAAACAATATAAAAATCAAACACTAAAAAAGATTTTGCCTCAAAGTTTCTATTAAGATGCAGAATAAAATGAGGATGCATGTGATAAGAGCTAGAACAATGAATAAACATCAACCAAATGTAATTTTATAATAAAAAAAAACTAAATAAATTTAAACAGAGCAAAATAAAACAAAAGGAGATAGACTACTAGACTGAAATCTGATTATTATAAAATAGATGAAAATCCCATTCTCTCCTGTCTCAGAGCTCTTGAATTCCGCTGTTAGTGCTTACTCTCCTCCCTTAATTCTTAAAAGCACAGATCGGGTTGCCTTTCCCACCAAGTTTCACAGATCCCCATTCTGAACCCCTAAAGTAAAACTCAGTTTAAACATACAATGCTGCGTTCCCTCATGAGTTCTTGTGCCTCCTAGCTCATTAAATAGATGTCGTACCTAGGACACAAGCGTATGATTGCACATAGATGGGTCTGACCAACTGCTATGATGGGAAAAAGCAGTGTGATTTGTTTTATGTATGTAATTTCTCCTAATTCTGATTTTGGATGAAAGAAGTCTGGAATCTGTTTTCTTTATGGTCTTCAATTTTTTCAGAATCTACACATTCTAGTTACTCAACTACTTGTTGAAAGTGCTAGTGCCATCCAGGCTGGGCAAACACAGTAGCTGCAGGTGGAATATAATCTCTTAGCTCCCCCGGGAGAGTCCCCACACCACTCGCACAGGGCCTGGAGCAGGTCCGTCTGTCCGTCCGCCCCACCCCACCTCCTAGAGGACAACCTAACGATTTGCGTGTACTTTTTTCATAGCCAGGAGACGGCCAATGTGCAGGATGAGCAGATACATACGCTGATATCCGGGAGTTACTGTGTGAGTAGCTGCCACTCACGACGCTGCTCGTTTCAGAGAAGAGGTCTGACTCTTGACCATGGGGCCCCTCATCACCTAGAAAAGCAGAGCCAGAGGCACAATGAACACACTCCCTGCTAATGTCGGCTGACCATCACATGGATAGATGGAATACAGTCATCTAGGGCACATCGAAGGATGTGGTGGTGGTGGTGGTTATGTGCCGTGGAGTCGGTTCCGATTCATAGCAACACTGTACAGCGTTTCTGAGGCTGTAAATCTTTATAGGAGCAGAAAGCCTCATCTTCCTCCTGCGGAACAGGTAGTTTCGAACTGCTGACCTTGCGGTTTGCAGCCCAATTCATAACCACTATGCTACCAGAGCTCCTTTGGATGAAGCTTATTCCTGGTTGATCTCAAAATAAAATCAACAGTCAATATTGTACACCAGTAGTTTACCAAACCTTTAAAAATGATTTTGCAGAGGAACCTTTTGAAATAAGAAAACTCATGTTTTAAGCACAGAGTGGTCAGAGAGGGGTGGGCCTGAGCAGAGCCGCTGGCACTCATGCTGATGCTCACACCAACCCCTGCCACGAACATGGTCAAGCACAGCCCTAGAGGTTTCACAGAGGCCTCCAACTTCCTTCCGTGTGGCACAGTGATCAAATCTCAGGGGGCACACTCAGTGGCTAAGACAAAGGTGATGGGTCCCCCGTCCCAAGCACCAATGGTCTTTATGCAGCTCACACTTACCCAGATTCTCCTGGGCTTGCTTTTTGAGTTCGCGAACCACCAATAAACGTTTCTTGTGGCGACTGAATGTGGCTGTCTGAGAGTTTAGAAATGCCATGTGATTTTTCTGGGCTAGGGGACAAATGGAAAATAATCTGAGAATGCTGTTTATGTGGAAGAGCAACTACAAGAGGAGTGGGTGACAAGTTGGAATCTAACAAAAAGAAACAGGCTTCTATATTTTCTAAGAAAGCTGTTTTCCCTTAATGAATATTAACCTAAATAGAATAACTTGGAGATAGGGAGTTCAGACCTTAAAAATTCACCAACATCATCCCAGAATACTCTCTATTGATAAGTTTCCAAAATCACCTGCACAAAGATGTGGTATGTAGCCTAGCGGACACACAAATAAAATGAGTGAGTGCACAAGAAATGGTAACAAGAATAGCAGGAACTAGTCCCGTCAGGGCTTCTGCTCACACACCCATCCATTATCCCTGAGATTTCGGTAAGTCAAACACATGTCCTCCTTTCCCATTTTGCATCTAAGGGGGTCACAGTGACCACCAGAAGATTCTAGAGCTGGCAGCGCTCATGTTCACTAGGATCCATGGACTTTATTTGCATTCTATTTTATTCTTTAAAATTTCAAATGCATTTGTTCAATGAACACAGATCGATATACCTTTCACTTGGATACATCAAATGCTAACTTTTTTGTCATATTTGCTTCCTTGTGGAAACTTTTGAGAGCAAGTTGCACACATCATCTTTCAGGACTGAATACTTCGGCACATATCTTTTGAAAATAAGATTTTACATAATCACAATACAATTGCTAAATGCAGAAAATTTACCAGTGTTCTAATATTATCTAACACATGTGGGTTAATGTGCTGGACTGCAAAGTCAGTTTTAATTGGAAGGTCGGTGGTTCAAGATCACCAGCTGCTCCTGGGAAACCCTATACAGGGTCGCTAAGGGTCGAAAATGACTCAGTGGCACTTAACAACAACAAAGTTCATATTTAAATCCACTAACTATTTCCACATGGGAGCTTAGGGGCTCTGTAGGATAAGCGCTAGACTCTGAATCACAAGGTTGGTTGTTCAAACCTACAAGCTGATCTATGGGAGAAAAATGAGGCTGTCTGCTCTTGCAAAGATGTACAGCCACGAAAGCCCTATTTGCATGGTCAAGCAGACTCAGAACTGACCCAAAGCACTTAACAACAACAATTCCCACATACAAAGCATGGGGAACTGACTCCACGGCACATAACCACCACCACCACCACCATTTAACAGCTTAAGGAGCTCTGGAGCGTAGTGGTTACGAATCGGGCTGTGAACCGCCAAGGTCAGCAGTTCAAAACTAACAGCTGCTCCGCGGGAGAAAGATGAGGCGTTCTGCTCCCACAAAGATTAACAGCCTCAGAGACCCTGTGCAGAGTCACTATGAGTCAGAACCAACTCCAAGGCACATAACAACAACAACAACATTTAACAGCTTAATATACAAAAAATTCTGGTCAAAATCAGACATTATACCCAGTGAAGAATTTTTAATTGACTCTACATAACAACACATTATTTAACGATGTAGTAAGAGAGAAAGAGAACTCTCCTCTCTCTCTCCTCCTCATATCAGTATGTCCAAATTCTGTCTAAAAATGTGATCCTTACCTTCTAAAATGGAAGGCTTTATGTTGGTCTCTATGATATCTAGTCTATTATATTTGTATACCTGAAAGGAAAAATATAATAATTTTAGGCAAAAAGACTTCAAGTCAATGGAAAGTTAAGATTCCTAGGAAAAATGGAACACTTTCAGATGTGACCAAGATACTTCTCAGAGGAGCAAGGCTCCCCCAGGGCAGCTACAGGATATTCAACTCATTTTAAGTTAAAACAGCACAGGGAGTCTGGAGGGTGGACAGATGCCCAATGTATCAATAATAAATTTTTAAATAGGTTTACAAACACTACTCATCCTTAGACCTCGAACCTGAATTATTTCTTTTTAAATTGGCCAGCCTCACAAGACAAAGGATTCCAGCTGACCCTGTCTCCTCTGTTCTCTTTCTCTGTTCAGCATTCAATACAGGGAGACATTTACAACTGTTCTTACCATTCTCAGCGCTTCTTCCCATGCCATTCCATCTAACAGCAAAAGGACAGCTTCTTCATAATCCTGACCAGGAGGCATCAAGGAAGATAAGAGGTTACTGCAGCCCGCATGTCACATGCCACCATGAGAGATTCCAAAAGTACCTACAGAGCTAGCTGCCTCTGTCCACCCCAGCCTTAACCCTTACAATCCCACTTATTAGCATCATGACTGGCCTAGATTCCAAATACTGGAGATACTGACAAAGCACATGCTAAGCATCATCTTTATATCAAAGTATCATCTTTACATCCCAGGATATCAAAACCACTAGAGGTAAGGAGCTCTGGTAGCGTAGTGGTTACGAATTGGGCTGTGAACTATAAGGTCAGCAGTTCGAAACTACCAGCTGTTCCGCGGGAGAAAGATGAGGCTTTCTGTTCCCATAAAGATTTACAGCCTCGGAAACCCTGTACAGGACCACTATGAGTCGGAACTGACCACCAACCACCACCACCAGCATTATCATTAAGTTTGATTCAGCAAATATGAGTATAAGTGGGCTCTTGAAATGTTAACAAGATCACATTTTTCTCTAACTTTTTACTTTGACAATTTTCAATTATACAGAACACTTGAAGTATATCATAATGAGCACATGTATACTCTATAGTGTTCAAGTGTTTTTCATTAGGCACCTTACCAATAAAAACATTTTGAGCATATTCTACATGTAATTGCTTTCGTTAAGTGCCACTGAATTGGTTCCAACTCATAGCGACCTATGTAGGATTTCTGAGGAGCCGCTTGTGGGTTTGAACTGCCAACCTTGAGATTAGCAATCCAATGCTTATCCTACTACACCACACCAGGACTCAACAATATATAGTTCTTGTTGTTGTTAAGTGTTATAGAGTCAGTTTTGACTCATAGAGACCCTGTGTAAAGCTTTTTGAGGCTTTAAATCATCAAGGGAGCAGAAAGCTTCATCTTTTTCCCACAGACCGGCTGGCAGGCTTGAACCACAAATCTGTGGTTCACAGTCCAGTGTAAATAATTATAGATAAGTAATTATATATTTAAGGAGCTCTGGTAGCGTAGTGGTTACGAACAGGGCTGCTAACCTCAAGGTCGACAGTTCAAAACTACCAGCTGTTCTGCGGGAGAAAGATGAGGCTTTCTGCTTCCGTAAAGATTTGAAGCCTCAGAAACCCTGTGCAGGGTCATTATGAGTCAGAACTGACTCCATGGTACTTAACAAAAACAACAACAATTATATATTTGGAGTCCTGGTATGGTGCTGTGGGTTAATGTGCCAGAATGCAAAGCCATTTGAACTGTAAAGTTGGCAGTTCAAGCTCACCAACTGCTCCTTGGAAACCCTATACAGGGTCACTATGCATTGGAACCAACTCAACGGCACTTCACAACAACAACAATTATACATCTGGGGAGCCACCACACTCCCCAAATATATAATTACTTGTTTATAATTATATACATGCATTTACTAACTTTTTATGCATCATAAGCCACATAAAATAATACATTTAAACAGGATAAAATATATAAGACAACAGGCTGTGTTTCCTCAAATGGTCACCACCATAAAAAAGGGGAGGGGACACACATTAGATTAAAAGAGATTAAAAAACACAAGATACAAGTGCAATATATGACCCTAGACTGAAACTATTCAAATCAATAACACTATAAAGAACATATTTAGAGCCATAGCGGACATCTGAATACTAATTAGTATATAAAAGTAAAATCTATTAACAGCAAAAGATATCATAGTACAAGCAAAATAAATTTAAAAACTGTACATTAAAGTGTGATTTCTCTTTGGTTAAAAACACATACATAGGTATAAAAAATTGAAAAGAAATAAAATGAGTTGCTAATAGCAATCTCAGTGATGGGAATAAGACGTTTTTATTTTCTTTCATTTGCTTATCAGCATTTTAAACAATATGCAATGCATATACACACTATTTAAAAAAATAAGTTATTTTAGTTCAAAAGTTTTAAAAACAAATGAAAATACACATTCTAATATTTTCTTTCCATACCCCAATGGCTCATTTTGTACTTGCCTCATTAGCAGGCATATACCAAATGTCTACAAAAGGACATAATAGGATGTATTTTGGTAGGTCCAAATAGAGTCCTGGTGTGGCACTAGACTGCTAACTGCAAGGCTGGTGGTTCAAACCTACCAACTACTCCTAGGAAACCCTATACAAGGTCACTATGAGTTGGAAGCAACTTGATGGCAAACATCAAACAAAATCTCTATTCCCAGCTAATTTTGTAAAAACGGGAAGCTTGACATGAACAACTGGTAAAAGCAGATTTCCTTAGCTCAGGAGGCAGGCCACAGCTCATCCCAATCCCTCCCATACCCTGATAGCTGGCCTACTCATTAACACCTTTGCAACCCTAGTTTAAACCTTAAAAAAAAGAGAAAGAAACACTTGTAGCTTCCCACGTTAGTGCTATCATTTTCTCAAATTTCCTTTCTCACTGTTTCTACTTTGGCAAAGTTAACATAAAAAGTACACTACTTTGAGATTTAATATAGTCCTATCTATAAAGATCATTTCCTGGTGTGGTGCTCTAGGATAAGCACTGGGCTTAAGGTTGGTGGTTCAAACCCATCAGTTGCTTTTCGGACACCCTATGCAGGCTCACTGTGAGTTGAGACTCACTTGACAGGAATTAACAACAAAGATCAAACTACTTTTATATATACTGCAGGGGAGCGCTTTGGTAGTCTACCTTCCATAATTTATAATTAGTTAGAGATGTCCTGAATTTAGATTCCCAAGTCAAGCCAGAAAGATGGACTCCCTTCAAGGTAAGTACTCTCCTTGTGCTTAACAATGGCCAGCACTCCTTCAATGTTCACAGGCCGTCACAACTGTGAAGTCCTTGTTGTTAACAGGGAGGTTTCAGCAGAGAGGAACAGCGTGTACCTGGGCATACTGTTCCATAACTGTGGCTGCATCACTGTGCTTCCTCTGATCAACTAGCTTTCCTGCAAAGAATAAACAAGGAACATTTGAACACAGCAGACTTGTTAAGAACAGTATTATCAAAACTCAAGTTGAAAGCTTTTGTTGGTACAAAATACTTTGTTGGCTTAAATAGTTCATTTGAATTAAGAAAATGTTTTTTAAATTACAGATTGAGCTCTACAGTATATATTCAAATGCTGTTGTTGTTAAGTGTTGTCAAGTTGGTTCTGACACACAGCGACCCTGTACAGGGTTTCTGAGGAGTGGCTGGTAGGTTTGAACGGCTGACCCTGTGGTCCAGAGCTTATCCTACAGCACTCGACCAGGACTAGAGCTGCTTTAAAACAGCATTTTCAAAAATGCTCCCTGAGGCTGTCCCATGGCATAATAAAAAACAGTCCCCCCAAAAAATCCCAGGGTCAAGTACATGTGTGAAGTAAGAGTCAAATTCTGTTAGATTCTTCTACTGAAATCTTTTTTCACTATGTCATTATTAAATACCAAACTATGTGCTTCGAATTTCCAAGGGAAATAGGTTGATATACTGTGGCATTCAATCTCAAGCGGCAATTAGTATATAAATTTAGCACAAAATGTGAAAATCTTCGTAACTGTTAAAATCATCCTTGAAATGCATTTGCAAAAGCCTGGATCTGACAAACTGACAGTATTGCTCCCTAATCCATTTCTCCCTCTAATAGAAAACCAAAGGCCCATTGCTGTCAAGTTGACCCCAGCTCACAGTGACGCTCCAGCACAGAGTAAACGGTCTCACAGGGTTTCTAAGGTTATATATACATCTTTACGGAAGCAGACTGCCACATCTTTCTCTGGTGGGGCAGCTAGTGGGTTCGAACTGCTTCATTGATGGAGCCTTGTTTTTCACTAATGCAGCTTGGGCTTTTTCCTTCAACACCATCGGTTTCTGAAATAGCTGAGTATCAACCAATTCTTTTTGGTACAGTGACTCTGAATATTCCATCGTATTTTGACGCTTCCTGCATTAGTCAACATTTTTCCCATAGAATCCTTCAACATTTCAAGTACAGGTTTGAATATTTTCTTCAGTTCTTCAACTTGAAAATGCCCTGTGTGTTCTTCCCTTTTGGTTTTCTAACTCCAGGTCTTTGCACATTCCATCATATTTTACTTTGTATGCTTGGGCTGCCCTTTGAAACATTTTCAATTCAAATCTTTTACTTTATCATTTCTTCCAGTTGCTTTAGCTTCTCTCCACATTCAAAAGCAAGTTTCAGAGCTTCTTCTGACATCCACTTTGGTCTCTTCTTTTTTTCCTGTCCTTTCAATGACCTTTGGCTTTCTTCCTCCATAATGCTCTTGATGTCATACCACAACTCGTATGGTCTTCAGTCATTAGTGTTCAATACATCAAATCTCTTCTTGAGATGGTCTCTAAATTTAGGTGGAACATAAGTTAAGGTCATAATTTGCTCTCATGGACTTGTTTAAATTTTCTTTAGCTTCAGTCTGAACTTGTATATGAGCAATTGATAGTCTGTCCATAGTTGGCCCTTAGCCTTGTTTTGGCTGATGATACTGAGTTTCTCCACTGCCTCTTCCCACAGATGTAGTCAATTTGATTCCTGTGTATTATATCTGGCAAGACCCAAGAGTACTGCTGCTGTTTTATATTGTTGAAAAAAGACATTTGCACTGTATATAAGTAGTTGGTCTTGCAAAACTCTATCATGTGATCTCTAGCATCATTTCTATCACTTAGCACATATTTTGCAGCTACTCATTCCTCTTCATGGTAATGACCAGTAATTATTATCTTTTATCAACTCCAGGGTGAAGAAGCTGGTAGAATTCTTCAATTTCTTTATCATTGGCTTTGCTGGTTGGTACATAAATCTGAGTATCGTTATATTAAATGGTCTTCTTCAGAGGCATACAGATATTATCCTATCACAGACAGCATTTATTTCAAGACAGTCCTTGAAATGTTCTTTTTGACAATGAATGTAACATCATTCCTCTTCAATTTCACATTTCTGATATAAGCCATGAGATTATCTGATTCAAAATGGCCCATACCTGTCCATTTCAGCTAATTCCTAAGATATTTATCTTTATACATTCTATTTCATTTTTGATGACTTTCAATTTTCCTAGATTTATCCTTCATACATTCCACATTCTGATAATTAGTGGGCATTTGCAGTTGTTTCTTCTCATTTTGAGTGGCACCCATCAGCATATGAAACTCCCAAAAGCTTTGCTCCATCCACATCAGTAAAGGTCAACTCTTACTTTGAGGAAGGAGCTCTTCCTCAGTACTATTCTGAGTGCCTTGTAACCTGAAGGGCTCATCTTTCAGCAATATATCAGACAATATTTCTTCTCTTTGTTGTTGTTGTTGTCAAGTGCCATCGAGTCGATTCCAACCCATAGCGACCCTGTATAGGGTTTCCAAGGAGCAGCTGGTGATCTTGAACCGCCGACCTTGCAGTTCAAACGGCTTTGCAGTCTGGCGCATTAGCCCACAGCGCCACACAATTTGTCCTCACTTTGAAAGTGAACCAACCCGCATTTTTGTTGTTTTGAAGAGCTGATGAGTTGGTTCCAACCCACAGCAACCCTGTATAGGGTTTCCGAGAAGACAACTAGTGGATTTGAACTGCCAGCCTTGTGGTTATCAGTCAGTGCTTATCCTACAGCACCTCATTAACACTCTGAACCAACTCATACTTGCAACAAATTCTTCATCACATTCACCTTTACTTGCCATGCACACAGCTTTTGAATCATGAAAAAAGTAAGTAAGCACTAATATAAGGAAGGCTAAATAAGAACCATGTGCACCTGTTCTGACTTCCCTACAAATTCAACATAAGAAAAAGTTAGGCCTTTTTACAAAGATGGCACTGAAAGCGAAGAAGGAAGCCCCCACCCCGCCCCTAATCTGAAGCCTTCAGTTTAGGCATTCAAAGCCAAGAAGGAGGGGCTGAAAGGCATCCATAACCACACAGAAACAAGATCTGTATATCACCCACCTTCTAGTGGCCCAAGACACTGAGGCTCCGAAGGCAGCCCAAATATAATCAAAAGAGCTCTCCCAGGAGGCACAGGCTTGACCTCTATGCCACCATCAAGTTCCTCTGACCACTGAGTTAGCCACAAAGAAGACTGAAGATAACAACACGCTTGTGTTCATTGTGGGTGTCAAGACCAGCAAGAACCAGATCAAACAGGCTGTAAGAAGCTCCATGGCACTGGCATAGGCAAGGACAACCCCTGGTCAGGTCTGAGGAAAGAAGGCTCCTGACTAGGATGTTTAGGATGTTGTCAACTAAATTGGAATCATCTAAACTTGAGTCTAGCTGTCTAATGCTACACATAAATTTTTTCAACATGCACACACACAAAAGACACAGTTAGGAATGGCTTTTGTTTGCACTGCCAGTAGTTTAAAAACTTGAATAATTACCAAATGAATTATCAGATGGAAGAGGATGAGAAAATCAATGTTACAGGTTAACAGCTGAGCATGACTTAATCACAGCTTTGATCTCTATGTGATGGTAGCAGCATTTTCTTTTCCTTGAAGATTTTAAGGATGCACAGAAGTCACAAGTCTTTCTCCAGACGGCTGCGGCAAAGCAGGCCTCTTTCCCTGAGCTTTCCTCTTGCTCCTCCAGCACAGCCTCTTTTCTCCCAGGTGGTGGTCCTTTACCTTTCCTCTACTCCAGGGAACAAGATGCTGGAACTCATCTCCCCTGTGGTTCAGGCAATCCCTAGACCCTAAGCTGCCTGTGTTTTCTCCTTGTTTATACATTTGGCCTTTTCTTCTATCTCATTTCTGACCTTTGCTATTACTGTTTCCTTACTTGAATGGCCCAACTCCCAAATTCTTCCAGCCACACTTTACTAGGCGTGGCACATGATGGAAATGTCAGGGAATGAGGTGACAGTGTAACTTTCAAACAAAGTTCTGTGTTCTTCCAGGACTCAGGCTTCCTGAGGGCTGCAGCGCAGGCATGAAGAGACCCCAGTGACAACCTTGCAGACATACACAGTACTAGGAGCCGACAGAGTCACAGGATGGCCCTGAAGCAGCAACACCCGAGCAGCTTTGACCTGTTTGCCTTTACACGAAAGAACTAAACTGATTTCATTTTTATAGCATTGCATTTCTGGGCTTCTCTGTTGTAGCATCACAACCTTTTCCCTTATTAATACCATCCTAAGTAAATTTTTAAAGGAGCTCTGGTAGCGCAGTGGTTACGAATTGGGCTGCGAACCGCAAGGTCAGCAGTTCGAAACTACCAGCTGCTTCGTGGGAGAAAGATGAGGCTTTCTGCTCCCGTAAAGATTTGCAGCCTCGGAAACCCTGTTCAGGGTCACTATGGGTCGGAACCGACTCGACAGCACTTAACAACAACAAATTAATTTTTATCAATAAGTATTAGACTATCTTGAGGTATACTGCCATAAATTTACTGGCAAAGTTGCCAAACAAAAGAAAAAACAACAAAGCTTTTTGAAGTAGACAAACGACAGTATTTACCTGCCAGAGTCCTGCCGAGGCCAGCCAGCTGGTCTTTGGTAAAGTCAAGCCGGGCTGCCATGCAGAGGGCGTGTTGCCAGCTGCCACAGGCCAGGAAGGCCTCTAATGCTTTCTCGGAGGCACCACAGCGGGCAAACACAAGCCCCGCTGGTTCATGGTGCTGCTCCTGCATGAGGTGCTCCCCATAAGCAACACTGATATCCTGTAATAAGCAGAAACTTAGGGTCAGGGAGGACACGTAAGAATCACTTCATCATAGCGCCAATGGAGGCTATACCTCCGTGATTACACTTGAAACTATCGAGTCATTGAGGGAAAATCCTGTGGCTGATCAGTCATTCAGTCAGTCATTCTCTCATTCAAAGACTTACTGAGGATACGTCACTTCTTCACTAACAAACAACTGCTGAATACTTACATATGCACTAGGCCAAGCATGTCTAAAGCAGTTCAGCCAAACAGAACAAGAACAATGACAAAGTTCCTGCTGTAAATGGACAGGGAGCACAGGAGTGTTGTTTTAGAGGGTTGTCAGGAAACCAATCTGAGGAGGAGACTTCGAGTAGAATGGACAAGGGGAGCACAAGGCACCCGAGGAATTCGGGGAGTATACACTGGACAGAGTCAGCCTACCCTGAGGCTTTAAGCTGGAAAGGATGTAAACAGTAGGCCTGAGGTAAAACAAGAAGGCTGGTGTGCTTATATCCGAGAAAGCAAGAGAGAGGAGTCAGAGACAGCAGAGACAGCATAGCCAATGGTCAAACACTGCACCCCCCAGGCTCAGCATTAGGCAGGGATGCAGAGAGGAATCCCACATGGAGTACCTGCCCTTAAGGAACCCTCAGCCTAGTGGGGTTGACAAATCACGAAGTCAGCAGTTTGTTCAGCTGTAAGATCAACATAATTGCAAAGAGAAGAGAGTTTGGAGAAGACGCAGAGTTCTGACAGACAAGTGGGGTTACAGAGCGCAGAGGCCCCACACAGTGTATCCCATTTGCAGACCTAACTACAAGGGGCTGGGAGTGTGGGAGGGTGGCAGACACCGATGCTAAGGAGTCAGGCTGGGGGCTAGATCATAGAGGGGTCTGTGTGCTATCTGCAATTGAACTGAAATGTTGTGGAGATGGCAAAAGGCATGGGCTCTGTGGTCACAGCTCTGCCACGTCAGAGCTCCAGTAGGTTGTGAACAATCTCCCAGGATGCTGTTTGAAGAATCATGCACCATATTTCACTTACAAGCAAGGTACGAGGCATAGGAGAAGGGCTTGATAAATGTTCATTAAACAAGGGAAAAAGAAAGCATTATTCTTTTACCCTGAAGTATACAGAAAGACATGCATTTTTTAGAATACTCAGTCACGCAGCAGGATGGGAGCATGGACAGGAGCAGCGGGGTGGAAGCAGGGACACCCACGTGGAAGCGACTGTGGTATTCCAAGGAGGATCAGGGTCCACTCCCAGGGTCAGGAGGGGGCAAGTTCCTTAGAAGAGGACAGGGTCCTCTCCCATGTCAGAAACTCAAGATGAGGCTCACTCGTTTTCACGTACACTTCTCAGCCTTTCCAACTAATGCACAAAGTAGAACCAGGAGAGCCTCATCCCATGCTCCACTAACCTGGTACTGCTGCGAGCCCAGTGGGAACAACTTCAGAGCTTCATTATACAAGTTTTTATCTTTTATTAAGTTTAAGAATTCTGGGAAGTACTCGGGTCCTGTAGGAATAAAGTTTACACAAATATAGGTTTAGATTTCAGAAGCATAATGTATTTTATTTATGCCATCAGCCCCCAAAGAAAATCAGCAAGAAATCTTCTTAAGACCTACAGAACCAGTCTCCGGAGAAGGGTGTCCTTGACTTTGAACTTTTAACAAGCACCAGAGCAGATTCTGATATATTAGGCGCACTACTTGGGATCAGTTTTTAGTCCAGTGTTTTCTCAACTGCCTTGAAAAGAACAGCCTGGGTGAGCTGCTTATTAAGGACCCACACTCCTGAGTCCTCTCCCAGACCTGTTCAATGAGATTTTTCAGGGAAGCCGAAGCCCAGTGCTTTACCAAGCACCCCAGGGCCTTCTTCCCTGTCCCTGGTCCCTGAGCGGGACGGACGGAACACATGTAATAACACGACAGCCACTGTGCTCATCCTGCTCCTTGAATGTCAGTGAAACTACATCTTCAGAGCACGGCGGTGGACGGACGGCACCACTCACTCCAGGGAAGCCCAGGGGTCGTCATCCCCTTAAGAAGAGCTACGTTGTGAACCAGTTTTGAATGAGACAATGAAGTTAATTTAGGAGGTAATCATTCTTAGCCAAAAAGGATGTGCTCTCTTTTCTTAGCTAGGGGCCTCCACTAGTAGTTTGCTTTACAACTGGTTCTTCCTGGTTCGGTCATGGTTGACAAAGCAAAACCGCAACAGACTCAAATTTGTAAAATGTGAGTGTACTGGAACAATAGCTGGAATGGGACATGAGTTAACAACCTGCTAGAATGTAATCCCTTCTTAGAAAACAAGGACAGCACGCATGTTTGCAAAGCAACCGAATCTCTTCATCAGCAGAGCTGTTAACAACGTGTCCTGCTCAAGGACGGCACCTGACCACAGTCCTGGCAACAATCCGATCTCCTATATCAGGCTTCTGAAAGTGCTCACAATGCCTCTTCTGGGTCTTCCCATTCCAGGTTCAACCCATCATTTCTCCCATTCTAGTCACTGTTCTTGTTCACCCACATTTAACAAATCCAGGTTCTTTCAGAGCTTGCTGCATCAGCCACATCTGAAATGGTTCAAAGCGCTATTTCACACTCAGCTTTTCAGAACACAGGACAAAACAAGGTGCACAAACACATTTTTTAAAGATTTGGGGAGTGGAAAATAACAATAGTTTATGTTTAAGCTAACATTTCATTTATACACTGCCTAGTTCCAAAAAAGAACTGAAGTAGAAATAAACATATTAACTAACCTCATCACACTTACCACATTTACTGAGGTGGACAATAGCTTTTTCATACCGTTTCAAGTATTTGTCTATAGAGAACCGCTGATAATTAGTTTCCATTTTCTTAAGCGTATTAAGAAATGGAAGATATTCTTTGGGATCCTAAGTAGATAAATAATAAGATTAACTTATTGTAAGTAATTATATTCGCATACAAAAATGAAATAATTAACAGAAACAGATTCAAAGTTATAAAAAACTTTAAACTTATATTAATAAAACATATATAAAATCTACATAAAACAAACTTTTGGCAAAAATGCTTCAAGATATGAGTACTATTAGTTTTCACTAATAGTCTCATAATAGCCAGATATTTCATAGGCTGCTATTATTTTTGTGAAGTGCCGTTGAGTCAGTTCCGACTCATAGAGACCCTATGTAGGGTTTCCAAGGAGCAGATGGTGGGTTTGAACTGCTGAACTTTTGGTTAGCAGTCCAATGCTTATCCTACAGCACTACAATAAAGAAAAAAGGTTTCAATCTAGCAAGATAGCCAATAAATACATCTCAGTTTCTCCTAAAACAACAAAGCACCATGCTTGATGCTGTTTTCATGTCCACCTTTTGCAAAGGCCAAGTTTTAAAAAAAGGTAAAATTGGCTAACTGAGACAGAGGTAAATAATGATATATGCACAACCTGGGAACAACAGGGTTCTGGGATACAGAGATCGAGCCATGGTTGGAATGTGGAAAAAGGGGGAATAATATTAAGATGCTTGGCTGTCTTTTGAATCTTGGTTTTCCTTGCATTATATTATAAAATAGACACTGGAGGGGGAGAGCAAGGAATAGCAAAAAGCATCACCATAGAAAGCTTGTAAGTCCGCCTTCTACTTATAACTGATTGGAATATCTAAAATGGGGCTACAAAATGCCCAGTGAAGGAGGCTTTATGAGCCTCTGCAATACATATGACTATAGGTGGAAGCCTGAACCACATCCAGATCTCCAGTGATGGGAAATTCCCACTTGAAAGGACAAGCAGACCAACCTGGAGTGGCTAGAAGAACAGAAGATACTTCTTGAAAGAAAGACCTACAGGAAAAATACAAAACAACATAGGCAGACCAAAGGGGAGGCCCCGGGGAGGCAGCAGGGAAGGGAGAAGATAAAAGCATTTTCTGTGGCCAGAAAAAGGATACTGTCAAGAGATGAGACTGAAGAGATGCACAGAGGTCAGATCATGAAATGATTTTTAGATAATATTACGTTTTCTGAACTTTATGCTAGGGACCAATGGAGCCAAAGAAGGCTTTCAAACAGAGGACTAAAGAATCAGATCTTCCTTTTTAGAAAGAGCACCTGGCCAAGGTGAAAAAGGACTGACAGGCTGAGACTGCAGCTTCAGAAGCCGCCAGAGCACCAGGGGAACTCGGATGCCTTGCCGCATGCTAGGCTGGGAAGAAACTCAGAACCTGTCTACCGCCCAGGTTCCACTGGAAAAGGACTGGAGCAAATCATAGGAATCCTTTGTCAATATTTCCTTTATACACGAATTCGTTCACACATATGCATTAAACGTTTCTGCATACCAGGTAACCTTTGCCCATTATTTTCAAAAGCATGCAATACCAATGCTTTTACATGTGATGACTTTGATTTTGATTATTATTATTTTTTGTCCTACAGATTTAATGTTGTCTTTGTCTAGGTACCTGTTAACACGGAGGTTGGGTTCCCAGCCAAACCCTCACCAGTCTTCCCTCGAGTGTCTGAAGCAGCCCCTCTCCTGGCAGGACTCCTTCCCTGATCTCTCCAGTGCAGGAAGAAATCATTTTCTGTCCTCACCAGAGTGGCCTGCCTCAGCCCAGGAGATGTGGAGAGGTCACTGAGGCCAGCAAGGCTGCTAAGAGGTGCATTCTCTGCCCCACAGTCCAGCTGCCTGCCTGCTGTCCTCAGGTAGTTTGAATCTCACATCCACATGGATGCTGCAGGGCAGATGTGAGCGCTGTGTGCACAGAGGTTCCAAGGCTAAGTGCAGTCAAGTCTGTGCTGACTTATAGTGACCCTGTAAAGGGTTTCCAAGAAGCGGCTGGTGGGTTTAAACTGCTAACCTTGCAGTTTAAACAGACCTTGCGGCCCAGTGCGTTATCCTGGAGGGTCACACCAGAGCTCAAAGGAGTGGGGTCCAACTGGCTGTTGGGGGTGAGGTGATGGAGGGCATGGGACCCGGACTGTCCCTGCACTGTCCTGTCTCCAAGTTGATATGGGAGGATCCGGGTGCACATGTGGGCAAAGGCTATGGCAGCCCTGCATCTTCGGCATAATGGACCCGGGCGCACAAACTCACTATAAGCCATGCCACTGTTCTCAGGCCTGGCTGCAACTGCTTCAGAGCAAATGCACTCTTTCAGTTGTGTATTTTCCAATTAACCTGGGTACTACCAACTTAGAGCGAATAAGGAAGACCAAAGAATTAATGCTTTTGAGTTATGGTGTTGGAAGAGAATATTAAAAGTGCTGTGGGCTGCTAAAAGAGCAAACAGATCTGTGTTGGAAGAAGTACAGTCAGACTGCTCCTTGGAGGTCAAGATGACTAGACTTCTCTCTCATTCTTCGGACATATTGTCAGGAGGGACCAGTCATTGGAGAAGGATATCATGTTAGGTTAGGTGGAGGGTCAGAGAAAAAGAGGAAGAACCCCAGAGAGATGGACTGGCAAACTGGCAGCATCAGTGGGCTCAAGAGTGGCAATAATAGTGAGGTTGGCCCAAGATCGGGCAGCATTTCGTTCTGCTGTGCATAAGGTCGCTATGAGTCGGTACTGAATAGATGGTACCTAACAACAACACCAACCAACTTACCCATGACTTTTTGACCATGGCTTTACCTTCGTTATACAAATATGATCATAACTAAAATTTGGGGACTAGTGAATGAGGCCGAAATTCACTTCTGGAAATGACATGAGACATACACAGTAGTGTATGTATGGGAATGGTATACCAGAAGTTTTTTTTTTTACATAATTTTGTTATTTCCACCATTATGTGTTTGTCTGTCCATGGTATTTACATGGTACACTATGTGTGAGGGGGGAAAAACATTATTTAAAAAAATAACCAAGAAATTTTAGTTCATTTACGTAACCTAACAATCAGAAAATTTGATAGAAAGAGACTTAGGAGCAAGGCCCCAGGATCTTGCAGATTGGTCCCCAGTCTGTACTCAAGAGTGTATCTCTAAGGAGCGGGGCTGCACAGACTCAGGACACAGACACAAAACCAAAAAACAGATAAAGTGGTAACTTACACACCTTCTGTGACTTCTCAGCTACCATGAGGACCAAATCAAAGTCATAGGTCCCAAGAGAATGATCATACAATTCATTAACATCTACCAGCAGCAGCAAGTACTTCAGGGCCTCTTCTGCACTCACACCATCAGGGTCAGATGGCGCATTTCCTGTGTCAGTGTTTAAGAAAACAAAACATTGGAGAAAAAAGCCACATAATCAAAATCACAAAATTATACATTTTCTTGATGGAGTGGGACACCAGATGAAGGTGAATTTTTCATTTCTGTTGTACATGTTTTGTAGGGCAGCAAGCACACATTAAAATGGCTGCCAAAGGGTACACGTTGAATCTGTGACGTGGCAATGCCGAGTCAATGGTAATGGTGCCACGTCAATGGTAATGGTCCTGGTCAACATAATCTCCCAAGACTGGGATCATGGTAAGAATTGGGGTCATTTTTGAACTCTCTCTGTTTAGGGGTCTCTACCTTGAAGCTCGTGTATCTTCTGCAGGACAATTCCCAGTTCTGGGTTTGTTTTCTTCACGTGAGAGGTAAGTATTGATAGGCAGTACCTGAAGTATGAATAAAAACACCAGCATGAGAAAGAGGAATAAGCTGACTACAGACAATTCTGCATGTCTGTCATTCACAAGGTGCTGACTAGTGACAGTATACATGAGTATACATACTTGTGAGGATTTATGTCCTCCATGGCTGCTCTCAGGGTGTCACAGATGAGGTCTATGTCTTTCCCATCAGTATCCCTGGGCAGCTGGACACTGCTGGAAACAGGTGGAGGGTACATAGTCTTTGTAACGTCTTCTTCCCTAAGAACAAATGTGTATTACAAGGTCACTAATTGAACATATGCCTCAGTTATCAAACTGCTAACGTACACCTAGGAGACCAGTGAGACCATAGAAATGGCTACTAGCTATACTGTTTAATTACAAACGGGTAGAAAAGTGAGAGGTTCATGATTAACTTAAGTCCCAAACTGAATGCTAAGCAATTGATCAAACAAAAACATGCAAATCATACTGAAATCTAAATGGTAAAAATTGTACTAAATGGTTATCAAATTCTGCTGTCTTATCTGTATTTTTAAAAATCATATCAGTTTGCAGAAAGTCTAAGAGTTTCTTATAAGCCTACAGTGATCTATGACCAAACAAATGTTATTCCTAGGCATTTATCCAAGAGAAATAAAAGCATGTTCAACACAGCTTTGTACAATTATGTCCATAGAAACTTTACTAACATTAAACCCAGAGTGGGTACAGTTCAGGTGTCCACAAACAGGGACTGAGTAAACAAACTGTGGTATTTATCCATGGCGTAACAGTGAGCAATAAAATACCACCGTGGATACAAACTGGAAGCAGTTTTATTTATGCCTAAGCATAAACACTATACAACTCCATTTATATGATGTTCTAGACCTGACCTTGGAGTCCTGGTGTGAAGCTGTGGGCTAATGCGCTGGACTGCAAAGTCGGTTTGAACTGCAAGGTTGGTGGTTTCAAGCTCACCAGCTGCTCCTTGGAAACTCTATACAGGGTTGCTATGGGTTGTAACCGACTCAACAGCACTTAACAACTACAACAAGACCTGATTTTTGGTGAAAAACTCTAGTTGCCTGGATTGGGGTCAGGGACTGACTGTGAAAGGATTTGAGCAAACATTCTGAGGTGAAGAATATGCTCCCTATCTAGAGAGGGTTTGGGGGTCACATGGAAGTATGTATTTGTCAAAAACTCAGTGAATGGTACACTTAAGAGTTTCTGCAATTCATTTTACATAAACTTTCACCTCAAAAAAACATAAAACTTAACAAAACAAAAACCCCTATCTACCAAGAATGCAATCTAGTTCATGTATGCAAGATGAAGTACTAAAGGGTAAAGTGGACTCAGTTAGCAATGCACTAAAACACGGTGACAGGGGGTAATTAGTGAAAAAGCAATCAGAACCGAAGATGAACTGTAGAATCGAGCTGGTGGGTACAGAACGCTCACTCTACAATTGTCTGTGTTTCTGTAGCTTTGAACAGTTCATTAAAAGGCTGGAAAATAATCACACCAGAGAAAGACACCATTTGAATTCCATCTAACAAGAAAAACAAAGTTTATTATTTTAAAAAGCAAAGTTTCATATAGATACCTAAAAATCAAGTCATTAATCAAATAATAATTCTGAATGGCATGTTTTAACAGTCAATTTTTAAATAGGTTGTTTTTAAAGGAGATGGAAAAAGGGAAAACCAGTAGATTTGGCATCTAAGACTTGTAGTAAGAAGATCCAGAGAGCATGGAGGAAGGTAGAATCGCCACTGAGTTGTATCCAGTCTGTCTAGGCGGGGCTGATGAAATGAAATGAGGATAGGTCTCTTGTGATACAATAGTGAATAACTGTTATCAGGACTGATTGTGAGGGTTGGAAATGTAAAGGTAGACGTTTTGTAGCAATGAGGG